TCACCACACCCAGCACAACTCTCCTTGAGCTTCTGGACCCATCTTTCAGCACACAGAACAAAGTGATCTCAAAAATCACTTTGATTTTGGGAAGCAATGAGGAGCCACAGGAACTATGGATTTAAGGTGGGGCAAGAAAGAAGACCAGGCTACAAGACAGCTGCATAATTTCACCTCATTGCATCTTTTGCCAGTCTTCCCTCTGTCTCACGTTCCCTGCAAGACTGTGGTATGTCTGCCAAAGGCTGGGCAGAGATGAGTGAAACAAATTAGGTGGCCAATCTCCAATTTGGCTAATGGTTCTTGCAGTCCATATAATTTTGAACCTAAATCTGAAGTCTATATTTTCTTGGCCATAAAGGCAGCAAACCAGTTCTTGGCAGAACTGAGGACATGATCTTGTCAGTAAGGTAATCAGAACAAGCACTATCTATTTAGCACTAACTATAAGCTATGTAGTGTGCTGGGTGTTTTATATATATTATTTCAATTAATCCTCAGTATAAACCTTTGAGAGAGCATTGTTGGCCCAATTTCACAAATGAAGAAATTAAGAGTCTGAGTAACTTGGACTGGAGATATAGCTCAGTGGTAGAGAGTTTGCCAGTCTGTGCAAAGCCCTGGGTTCCATTCCCAGCATCACAGCAGGGGGGTGGGGGCTGTTTGAGTAACTTGCCCAAGTCACATGACTAAAAGGTGGTACAGTCAGAATTTGAAACAAGTCTTTCTGTCTTAGCCAAACTGTACTGCCAAGATTCAGGAATATAAGGAACTTATTAGAGATCACTCTGAAAACCAGCAATTAGGAAAGACCTGACTTCAAATTAGATGTTCAACTGTGGTGGTAAGTGACTTATCTAAAAGACAAAGAATCTGGTTGGATTATTGATAAGTATGCAGCCTTCAAGAGACTTAGGTTGTGCTGGTAGCAATCACGGACCTCAAAAGCATGTTAGAAGTTGACCCCAATTAACACCACTGAGCATTATCAGTTTGGCTGTAATATCATGTAACTGCTACAACATCCTTAAAGGACCAGGTTCTGTTTTCTAGGGTCATTGATGACAGTTCTGTTTTCAGAATAAACAGCTAGAGTGGGATAAGAATTCCCAGTGGATATTTGGCCTCCAGAGGTGTCTATGAACCACATTTTAAGCCCTAGAAATAAATACATCCACTCGCCAAAAGGTCTGTCCATCATGTTGGCTCAGACAAAGATAAACCCAATTAGGTATAACCAACAAAGTGAGGAAAGTTGCTGAGCAGAGGAAAATTCCACACCATTAAAAAGGCAGCAAGACAAATCTACTTTTCTATGGCTTTAAGAGGACCTGGGGTGACTGGATTAACTCTGACATCTGTGCTCAGATTCGAACCTTTGGTGGAAGAAAAGCTTATGGCTTAATTTTGCAAGACCCAGCATGGAACCTTTGTTGGTCAGCAGGGAGATGGGGTCTGAGAAAATTGGATTAGAGCTCCTGATATAAGGACTTGAGGGGAAGTATAATTATAAGCAACTCTAGCAGACCTGTCTTTTCCCTGTGTGATGTTTCAATTCCAGAAAAGATCACAGGGTAAGAAAAAATAAATCTTTACTGATCTGTCCCATAGAGCAAGTGAGCTGATCTTAGACTGCAACTACTGCTGGTAACTGGGAAAAATAAATCCCTTTAAAGACAATGATTTTGAGCTATTATTTCCATCCCCCCATTTGTGGAAAAAAAAAGTACAGTCAGCAACTGAAGGTAAATTGCAAGAAGGAAGACTGCTCTGTCCTTTCCTGTCACTGATGTTCCTATATCTATCTTCCCACCCATTTGGATCAGCAACCACCTTTGCTTTTCTTAATACAAAGGTGTCCATGAGCTGTTCTCAATAGAAATTCCTCCTTCAGAGTTCTCAGAACTCCTATCATTTCACTTACCCCACCGTATAATAACTGCTTACAGTTCTTCCCTTATGAGAGTAGAAGCTTTTACTCTTGTTCATTTATGTAACCCAGTGCCTACTACAGTGTTATTCAGACCGTAGGCCAATGTTGTGTTATAATAGAAGAATTTCCATCTAATAACTCAAGGCTGGAATTGATGATGTAGACACTGCAACATTTTGAGAGGTTTTCACCAATATGTTTATAGTAGAAGTTTAGCTGTTGCTACTGTTGGCTCCCTTGGGCAATTGCCAGATTTGCACTGGGTTTGCAGTCCTGTGCTTGACTTTGTGCTTAAAAGACTCTTAATCAGAATATCTACAATATGCATATTTATAAACCAAACAGAACCTTGAAAATTTTAACCTATCTATCCTTAACAATGAACTCTCTCTCTCTCTCTCTCTCTCTCTCTCTCTCTCTCTCTCAGGAAATAACATACATGGAGACTTAACATATTATATTAGAGTATAAGAAACAGATAACAGAGAAAATATAGAAGAAGGCAATATTTTAAAAGATGTTGACTAAATATTTTCCCAAATATACAGAAAAGAGATATCCTCAGATTTAAGGTAACAAATAATCCCAAGAATAATAAATCATTAAAAACTCCAACACTAGAAACATAATAATGGTATTGGAATGCAGCAGAAGATATAAAGGAATAAGGAAGTTAGGGAAGAATGAGGGGAGGGAGGGAAAAAATAGAATAAAATGAAACTAAAGAAAATCCTAAAAGCAGAGAAAAGGGTTACAAAAAAGCACAGATTACATTGGCATCTAATTTCTCAATAACCACAATGAAAACTAGTAGCCAATGTAATAATTTTTAAAGGAGAGAGGAAATAATCACCCCCCTAAAATGCTATCACCACAGAAACAGTCTCCTAAGAACAAGAGTAAAATAAAGATATTTTCAGAAAATAAAAATTGAGACCCCCACTCTAAAGGAATTTCTGAAGGATGTAGTCTAGAAAAAAGTAAAGTGGGCCCCCAAGGACATCTGAAATGCAAGAAGTAATGACTAGCCAACAAAATGTTAAATGGATGAATTTAAAACATTGATTTGAAGAATTAATATGATTAAAATATCCATACAACCCCCAGAGATCTACAGAGTCAATGCATCCCTATAAAAATACCAACATCCTTCACAGAAATAGGGGGGGAAACTTAATATTCAAATGAAACTACAAAAATTCCCAAGTAGTTAAATCAATCTTGAACAAAAAGAGCCAAGCTGGCATCACACTACCTGACCTCAAGATATACTATAAACTCTAATAACCAAACAGCTTGGTTCTGGCCTGAAAACTGACATAGAGACCATTGAAGAAAACAGACAGCCCAGAAATAAGTCCATCCATCCACTGATGTTTTTCAAAGGTGCCAAGAACACCCAGTGGGGAAAGAACCATCTCTAATAAATGGTGCTGGAAAAAACTGGCTGTTCAAATGCAGAAGAAACTCAGCCCATCTCTCACCATATGCAAAAACAACTCAACATGGATCAAAGACTTAAATGCAACACTCAAAACTAGAAACTTCCAGAAGAAAACACAGGGGGAAAGCTCTATGACAGGACTGGGCAAAGACTTTTTAGAGAAGACCTGAAAAGTATAGGTGACAAGGGGCTGGGGTTGTGGCTCAAGTGGTAGAGTACTAGTCTAGCTCGTGTTAGGTACTAGGTTCGATCCTCAGCACCCCATAAAAATAAACAATAAAGATACAGTATCCACCTAAAACTAAAAAATTTATAGGTGACAAAAACAAAAATAGGCAAATGGGATTATATCAAACTAAACAGCTTCTGCACAGCAAAGGAAATAACAGAGTAAAGAAACAGCCTACATACTGGGAGAAATTATTGGTAAATCATACATCAGATAAAGTGTAATGTCCAAAATATATAAGACTTAAACTACTCAACAGCAAGAAAACAAATAATCATACTTAAAATGGGTAAAGTATCTGAAGAGACAGTCTCAAAAGCAGACATACAATGGCCAATAGGTGTATGAATAAATGATCAACATCAGAGAATATAAATAAATTAAAATCACAATGAGATATCATGCCTTTTAAACTGACTATTATCAAAGAGATGGGTAGGTGTTGGTGAGGATGTGTAAGAAAGGACCCTTATGCACTGTTGGTAATATTGTAAATACCATTTTAGAAAACAGCATAGTGGTATCTCAAAAAACTAAAAGTAAAATTACCATATTATCCAGTACTGCCAGTACCAGGTGTATACCCAAAGGAATTTATATCTGAACACTAATGCACATGTTCATTGTGGCATTATTCACAGTAGACAACATATGCAAATAACCCAAGAGTACATCAACAGATATGTGGATTTTAAAATGTGTTGGAACGGAATACTATTCGGCTCTTAAAAAAAAAAAAGGAAATCCTATTATTTGTGACAACATGGAAGAATCAAGAGAAGAATTATTTTAAGAGAAATAAGCCAGGCAGGCACAGAGAGACAAACACCATGTGATCTAATTTACATGGGAAATTGCAAAAACTGAACTCACAAGAAGTAGACAGTCAGATGGTGGCTACAGAGACTGAGAGACAAGCACAGAAGCGGAGAGGGGAGAACTTGTCTATGGATACAAAGTTCCAGTTAGGAGAAATAAGTTCTGGTATTCTAATTCACCATAGGGTGACTATAATTATTAACAATATATTGCAAGTTTAAAACAGATAAACAAAAGAATTTGAATGTTCTCACCACAAAGAAATGACAGTAGGAGTTTAGCTGTTGCTAAGCTCATAGAAATGTCATTGTTACCTGGGTTAGTTAATGTCAAGTTGTCTTCAAAAGAAATGGGGAAATTATTCTAATTCATAGTCACAACTGCCATATAAAAGTCATTTGAGAGGACAGATATTCTAATTACCCTAATTTCATCATTAGACAACTTATATACATATATAAACATCATGTTATATTCCATAAATTTATAGTTATTATTTACCAATTCAAAATAAACTATTTAATAAAAAAAATCTTAAACGATTAAGCAAATATTTTCCCAAGTTTTAGGCTTACAAAGCTGAATAAAACAAGAGTTCCTGTCTTCAGTGTGCTGCCATCCTGTCAACCACATAATCCTTCTGGAAGGGTGGATAAGACCTAAATGTATTAAAGAAAGAAATAGCAATTAGAAAGGGGACTGTAGCTACATGAATGGTGCTAGGATTTCAAGCCTAAAGATGCCAAGACTCCAAGTATTGGGTCTTTGAATTAACATTTCAAAATTCAAAGTTTTAAAAAAATTAGCGGGACATGGTGGTGCACGCCTGTAATCCCAGTATCTCGGAAGGCTGAGAAAGGAGGATTGTGAGTTCAAAGCCAGCAATGGGAAGGCACTAAGCAACTCAGTGAGACCCTATCTCTAAATAAAATTCAAAATAGGGCTGGGGATGTGGCTCAGTGGTTTAGTGCCCCTGATTTCAATCCCCAGTACAAAAAAAAATTAACCTCAGTTCAATGTCAAGCTTAAGCAATCAAGGTGCAAAGTAGGTATCTCTCATGTTAGACCAAAGGCCTCATTCCAGAGGAACCCTCAGATTTCTTCACAGGAAATCATTTCAGATAGATCTCTCCACATGGATACATACAACATTCATGTGCTAACAACATTCACTGCTCTCCCACAAATGATCAGCACTTGCCCTAACTTGGGCTTCAGAAGGTGCAATCCAGGCTAGTTGTTCATGTTTGCAGAGAATGGCAGCCTCTCCCCAGAGAGTAACCGTTACCTACGGACGGCCCTTCACCTCCTATTGTAGTGAGACTGATGTTTAACTAGAATCTCTTATTTTCCTTGTCACTAAGCCAACAGAGAATTTTGTTTTGTTTACTCATGTTTTTTACAAAAGTAATTTTATCGGGTCATATTCTGTGAGCCTGCATTTTGTGTTTATCATATTCTTGCGAGTTAAAAATAGTTGTCTACAATGTAAGTGTTCCCTAACAGTATTTGTTCAGTTTTTCTTTTGTGTTTGCTAATATTAATAGTTTTCTATACACTTCCTGGTGCACATGTGCAAGTTTCTCCAGAGTACCCACCAAGGAGTGGAATTGCTGGGTCATAGAAATGTCATTGTTACTGTGCTATCTAATGTTAAGTTGTCTTCCCAAGAAATTGGGAAATTATTCTAATTTACAGTCACAACTGCCGTATAAAAGATTCTGTTTATCCACATCCTCATCAATGATTACTATTGTCCAACTCCATTTTTTTTTGTTCATGTAGTGGGTATAAAATGATACCTCATGATGATTTTAATTTGTGTCTCCTTAATTACTAATGAAATTGATGACCTTTTAATATGTTGATAGACATTTATATTTCCTTTGTGAATTGCTTTACCACTTGGGGGGTATTTTTCGGTGGGGTATAGGCCTTCTTTATTCTGGGTTCCAGTCCTTTTTCAGTTAGTTGAGAGGTAAAGATATTTTCCCAGTTTGTGGCTGATCTTCTTACTCTCTTCCTGGTATTCTTGGTAAGTAAAAGTTCCTTGTTTTAATAAAATAGAAATTACCATCTCTTTATGTTTGGTTTGTGCTTTTTGTGTCTTTTGACTTCACAGAAGAAGGGAGCTTCTTATGAAAGGGGAACCTTGAAATTTCTTAGGAGAATTTCTGTGCAGGAGAATCCCTTTATGGCCTTTGGCAAGGGAAGGATCCAGAAAATTCTCATCATGAACCACTCTATATTTTTAAAGATTGTGGGGATGAATCAGGAGGTAGGTTCAGCCCTGGCCACTTTTGTTTTCATCGTTCTCCTTGCAGAAGAAGGCTCCTCTGGGCTGCTGTCAGAGAGGGTCTCAGAATTGAGGACCACAGGCACAGCCAAGGCAGAGGAGGGGGTTTGGTTCCATCCCTCTTACCCAGGGCCACCACCTTCCCAGCCCAGCCCCACCACACTTTTTTCACCTTTAGTTCTTTGTTAGGAGCTCTGATGGGGGTCTGTTTCCGCTAATCTTAACTGTGGCAAAATGCTCCAGGAAGTCTATTCTTCTGGTTACATATGGAATTTCCTGGACTTCAGTTGATTGCTTGGGATGGGGGCTGATTAGATGCAGCTATTTCCAGGCATCCTTGCCTTTTCTTTCCTGAAAAATGATTGTGTTTGAAATATATTTTTAGATGGGGCTACAGTACTCACATATATTTTTCTTTTTACTGTACAATTTCAAATCCAGTTTTCTTCCAGAAACACACACACACACACACACACACACTACAGACATACACACTAGGAGCTAGTGTGACTTTCAGCAGTCCTACTCTTTAGGTGAAAATTATTCTTATATTACTTGTAATTTTTGTCATCTTAAAGTCCACTTTTCCCAGTACAATTTCTGAGGCTTCTTCCTCCCCCTTCCACTCCCAAATATCTATTTATGGACCATTATCCCCTTCTCCATCAACATCTTCTCAGCAGAGCTGTATGCCCCAGGGGGACTGGGCTGGTGTGAGACTCTGCCATGATGAATGGATTTCTTTTCACTCCCAGTAACTGGCTGGCTTCCACCAAGGGCAGCTAATTTCTTTCTAGCTACTTGGAGTAAGTAGATTAGGTTACCAGTACTGCTGCTTATCTCATTCTAGAATCAATGATCCAATTCACATGATCACCAACTATAAATCTGGAGAAACTATTACACAGAAGCCCTGGTAATTGATTAGTGGGTATTTCCTGAAACAAATCATTTACAAGGCAATGCTTTGGTTCCCAGCCTATTTTTGAGGCAATTAGGACCTACTGAGTTGCTTATTCATTTACTATTTGATGATGGTCATTTATTTCTAGTCTAATGTCTGAATCTTACCCCTAGTTTCTCAAGGTTCTGGTCATCAGCTCTTTCTCATTTCTCTGTTGTGTTGTTCTTTCAGGCAGATGCCCAGTTTGCAACACAGCTGATCCTCGGCTTCCATCTGCCTATGGATTTTGATGGCACTGAGATAGAGTTGTTTTGGTCCTTGGAACAAATTGTAGCCAGGATATTCTGCCTTCTGCCTGACCTTCCCAGGTCCAGCAGTCCATGTCATGGGAAAGGGCCGAAAGGGATGAGTGGGTGGAGGACACGCTCCTAGTACCCTGACTCTTTCCAGCACCTGCATGGTAATGGGGCATGCCAGCAGAGAATGGTTGTTCTTCAACATTAGGGTCTGCTTGAGGCTGGAATCCTTGTTTTTTTCCAATCAGGTAAGCATAAAGTATTTATGATTTTGTAATTTGGTCTGCATCAAATTACAGACTGTACAGATCTGGTCAGGTTGAAAGTTGGGTAACAATTTTTATGATGCACTGAGCTCCTTTTTAGAACAATGTGATTGTGCTAAGTTTTGCCTGCAACATTTCATTTAATCTTTTAATTCTTATGTGTCCTGGATGGGATCATCCACATCAGAAACCTAATGTGAGGGAGATGGTGTACATTGTCTAATAAGTCATTCAATATATGTGAAAAATTTTCACTCAAACATAGACCAAGATAACACAGAAGGGTGCTTTTAACCAAAAGGACTCTCCAGTAACTAACAGAAATCCAAAAATGGCAAGCTCACAGAAGGCTGGAGTAGTCAGGAACAATAGATCAGAAGGAAGGGGTTCCTGTAGAGCAATATTATTCCATGTTCCTCAAACTTTATTTCTTATTTTTGTGGTTAAAAAATATAACATAAAATTATATAGAATACTTGATGAGTTTGTGTGCACAGTGGACTGTAACCTTCCCTGTCTTGGTCCAATTTTAGTATATGCACTGCCAAAAACAGCATCTCAAACTTTTTATCTTATAAATCACAACACGAAATACATTTTGCATCATGATTTCATACACATACCTATATAACTGAAACACAAGTTTACTTTGTGATACATGTCCTTGTCCTCTGCAGTGCACTTCATTATTCTACTGTATTTTATATCTCTTGTGCTTTACAACGTACAGATACTGGTCTGTAAACACCAACACGCAGAAATTGAGGCTCAGAGATGTGTTGAGTACCTAGCACAGTGTCTTGCAAATAATAATCCTAAGTGTCTGCTCTATCTCCACACATGATGTGCAAGCTGAGCCGCACCCCAGCAGCAGTCCAGAGATAGAACCCAGGTTTCTTGGCTCCCAGTGCAGGGTTTTTAAGTCAAGGGCAATTTTTAAAAGAAGAGAGATTTCTCGTGGCAGAGTTTCTTTAGAGATCAACAGAAGTAGGAAGAAACATTGAAATCATTGGAGACACACATCACCCCACAATGGGCAGTGCCCCAAGGTCACAGGATGCTAGAACAGAATTGTCTCATTCCAAAGCCCACACTCTCTTTGATTTTCTACTTTGGTTGTTCAGAAAAAATAAACTGGAGAGCTCTGTAACATTACCAATGCCCAGGCTACATCAAATCAATTTAATCAGAATATTTAGGGGTAGGGTTTTCGAAGAGCTCCCCAGGTGGTTTAAATACAGAGCTACCACCTCCATGAAATGTAGAACAGATCCCTTAAAACCATTCTCATTAATCCCTCCAGCCCCACTGAAATCTCCCCTCCAAGCCCCAGGGACTCCTAACTCAAATTCATAGTCAAAAGTAACTGCCCTTCCACTGCATTCATGTAGCAATCAGATCTCCCTTCATCCTGTGTTTATCCCCCGGCTGGATGATGCACTTACTGGCTGCAGGGCTTATGCCTTACTCATAGTTGTATCCAAGTGTGTAATAAATATTTACAGAATGCCCTTTGCTCAGATGGCTCTTCTTTGCCAGACCATCCAGGCTTCTGGAGTCTACTAGGAATCAGCTGTCACGCCTAATGAGGGTGATTAAAATTCTCCCCGGGGTCACTCCTACAGAGGACAAGAAGGACACTCACTCCAGGGGTTGCAGAATCCTGATCAGTGAGAACAAGAGTCACTGAAGGCTGTGAGACAGTCACTTCAGGCGGTGGGAATTTTCTCTCCCCATCTTTCTTTGCTAGTGGTCTCCTCTGGGTTTCCAGATCATCCGGGGTTTCTAACGAGGCGGTGCTGCGCCGAGTGCAGAACCCTGGGCCGGAAGTAGGGAAAACGGACTTCCTGTGCCGGGGGTGCCCTTCGCTGTGGCGTGTGGTGGGAACTCAGTTTTCGGTTTTGTTCGCTGGGAGTGACAATTGTCACACTCTGCTCCTTTCCCCCTAGGGGATTATACAAGAGCTCCTTATATTAAAAAAAAAAAAAAAAAAAAAAAAGCTTCGTTCAGGTCCTTGAGCTTTTCCGAGGACAGCTTTGTATAAATATAAGATACCTTTTGTTATTGTTTGTAGCCAGAGGGATTTGTGGAAAGAAGTTGGGAGCCAGCAGCGCTCATTTTTATAGGCAGAAAATAGCTGTTGGAAAAAACAACCTGATGTGTGGAGCACAATGTTCTTATCGAGCAGACAGAATTATCTTTCCCAGGCAGCCATGAACACAAAACACCTGGTACACACGTTTCCTGACCCTTCACATATTTTGAAAGAAAGAGACCTTTACCCTGACCTGTCAAGCAGTGATCTCCATGAACTTCTGTCCACAGACTCTCCGACTGTTATCTTGGCTTGCTTCTGTGCACTGAAATGGTAAACATCGCTGATCCTCACTAATAGGACATCTTCTCCAGATATCACTGGGACCTTATCAGATCCACACATGCATTTCTTCTTCCTACGAATGCGGCCTCTGAGGGGGGCGCATCTCGGCCATGTCAGGGGCTAAGAGTCAGGGGCTTCCTGCCTCCAACCCAACACTGTGGGTGCAGTTGAGGAGATAAGGACCGAAGATTTGATCCCTACTCAGCAATCACCTAAAACCTTTGGGAGAGAAAACAAAACAAAAGTCACTGAAAAACTTTAGCAAAACATACAGATCTATCTATTCATGAGAAAATTTATTGCCTACCTTAAAGGCACGAAAGTATTAAAAGAAGGTAGAAATCAGCTAGAAAGCTACACGGAGGATAAGGGTACAACCCACCTGAGAGGTGGTCGGTAATGTTAAAGTGAATGAAGGCAACTTGACATGGGTGAAAAGGTTTGGAAATGGTGGAGGAAGGAGCAACAGCCATACTTGGGATGTCACATAGGCAATAGTTGAAGCATTGGTAGTGGAACAGAGTGGAATGACCTGGGTATGTCTTTCTCCAGCCATGCATTCTCAACAAGTTATGTAACTCTGAACACATGACTTTCCTTCTCCATAGTGATTAATTAGTGCTAATACTTCTGTTGTCATTTGGGGGGGACAATGAAATGAGATAAATACAGGAAGAAATCTTAGCCTACTGTCAGGCATGTAATAACTATCTAAACCATGTTTATTGTTGTTGCTGTTTTTTATTATTACTAGGGAAAATGTAAGCAATGGAAGGAATTCATCTATATATGGGGAAATTATATTTTCCTTGTAATCATCAAATAATCAGAATACTTGGTACTGTGTTATTTAACTGAATTTGATCAGACGGCACCTGCTCCCTGCAATACTGTGAAAGAAAGAAAGATCATGAAGGTTTATTCCCTCCCTCAAGCCTCTTCCCTCCTCCCAGCTCTCTTCCCATGGCAACTATTTCCACCTCTTCTGTGCCACAGTGAACTCATAATCTCTCTCATAATCTTTCCACTCCCCTCCTACCCAAATTTGAAATCTCATCTCCCAGGCTGGATGAGAGGATGATGAGTTACAAGGGATGAATCTGCAATGATGGCTTCTCAGATATTCGTGACAACATGTAAGACCTGGGGACAGAGATCCTCTTGGATGTTTCTGGACCTATTAAGTCATATCTGGTTAGCTACACACCTCAAACATAGGGAGTGCTCAGCAGGAGAATTTTTAGGTTCTTTTTCAAATCAAAATCTCAAGAGTAAGAACTTAATTAACTTAATTCTGCATTGTCCTCCTGAAAGACACACGTATTGGTGCACTGATGATATAACTAAGCTACGATGTCACAGGTCATTAGCGCTGTCTTATGCCATTGTGTAGTTTGTGCATTACATGCAAAAGTCAGCTGTCCACCCAGCTGCATCCAATCCTTTCCCTTCTTTACCCTGCAGATGATAGTCGTGCTCCTACTGAAGTGGCCTGAGCCACATTCCTGGCTCCAAATTACCTACAGGATAAAACCTAAACTTCTCAGCCTGGCAGATAAAGCTCTGCATATCCATCCTGGCCTTTTTCTCTGCTTTCTCCTTATCTCTTGCTGTGATAAACTTTCCCCAGGTCCCCACAAACACCTCGCTCTTTTAAGACATTGCCCTTCAATCCAAACACCTTCCCCAACCTTCTTCAACTCCACCAGGATCATTGCTGAAGGAAAAGCTCTCATGTCTCAGACTTTAAGCTGTGCAGTTATTTGTTCTGCATTGTTTATATTCCCACAGTTAAACACTTAGTGGATGTTTAAAATATTTCTTCAATGAACGAATGCATTCGGATTTCAATGACAGCATTGATGGCAAGGTAGGGTAATTGTCCTACTCACTTGGTTACCTCATCAGACTGTGAGCTTCTCCAAAGGGGGAGAGGATGTGAGTGTATCTGTTTCATCTATACCCTCAGATCTGACTACAGTGGCTCTTTCGGTAAGTTTTAAGTCAAGGTTTGACAAATAATTAAATTTCTTATATATCTTTTGCAAATGATTTTTTTTTTTGGTGTCATCATGCATTATTTCTTTCATGATTACATTTCTTTCCTTTGTTGATGTAGAGTTGGGGTAAAAGAAAGGGAAGAGAACAGTGTTCTTTTGCTGTCTTATCTCTCCAATATAGCAAGAATATGGAAATATGGGGAGGGGAAACAGGGGAAGCCTCCTTGTAGGTTGGAGTCCCTGGAATTAGAAGCTGAGAGTCTTCTGAAAGTGCTCACAAGTGAAACCTAGAAGGGGCTGAGGGCAAGGGCTGAGGCTGTAGCTCATTGGTAGAGAGCCTGCCTCATATGTGTGAGGCCCTGGGTTCGATCATCAGCACCACATAAAAATAAATAAAGATATTGTGTCAACTTCAACTAAAAAAATATTTTTTAAAATGTTAAAAAAAAGAAGAAGGGGCTAAGGGAAGCAAGACAGGACAGGGGACAAGCAAAACCAACACACAGATTTAGTTGCAGATAAGTCCCTGCCTGATCCCATGGGAAGCTAAGGAACAAGGAGAGCCTCCAGAATTGTCCCACCTTGAGGGAAGAGGCCTGTGTGCTTTTACGCCTCCATATTAGTAGTTGGCTATAAGCCACGCCCACAAGTGAGGAGATAACCTTGGGGAATTTCAAGGGGAGCAGCTTCTGGAGGCTCAGGGAAGTCTTCAGTGGAGATAGAGGTTATTGCTCACCAACATTCATGGCAACTGAGCAAGGCAGGCGCCCTTCTGGTAAAGCCATCTGAGCAACACAGCCATAGCCCCACCACACATCCAGAAGATGTTAGAAAGTCTAGAAGAGTTATCCAAGATTTTATTTCAAACCCACCTCCTCCAGCTTAGCCAATCTAATCGACAAGTTATCTGGATTAGTTCCTCACTCCTGAACAGATTAGCATCAGCAAGATAGAAGAGGGGCAGAGACCCTGGAAGGTAAGTGCACCAACAGGAGCAGAACAAAGCCAGGAGCCAAGAGGCACAGCAGTCTGGAAGCCTGTGGGCAGAGCCCCGAGGACTGTGAGCTAAAGATGAAGTCTACGATGATTTTACAACAAAAGGTTGGGTAAGCTGTATTGGACATTCTAAGTGTAGGAACACAGGGTGATATGCAATGTAATTTGTAAATATTTCATTTGAAATTTGGAAGCTTGAGGTGTGTGAACAATGATATAGATATTTTATTTTTACAAAATATCTCCTTCTGTGTCAACCTTAACAGGTAAGTGAGGTGTTGCTGGCTACTCCTCAAGGAATCTCTTCTGCCCAGGAGCTCATGGAACCTTCCAGAGGATCACTTCAGACTTGTTTAAAAGTTCTGGCAGTTTTGGTTCCACCTAGCATGTGGGATTAAATAACTGGGGCTGAGGGGAGCCTTCTATAATCGCCACACTTACGCTTCAGTGTGATATAGGGAATGCTCTACCCTGGCATGGGACAAATGGAGTTCAAGTTCCTCCCTGTCATTAACATTTGTGTGGCCCTACACAAGTCATTTCTCTTCTTTGAGTCTTGCTGTCTTCATCTGTAAAGAGGAAATGCTAATATTTATTATCCATTATTAATATTTACATTGTACATTACATGAGTATATTTTATAACGTATTGATACAGTTTGTAGAGAAACAATATTATACTGTCTCACCAGTCTATTGTGAGGAACAAGCAAGATAATATTTGTGAATTTGCCTTGTAAGAGACAAAAAGAATTAAAAGTGGTATAGTTGGAAGAGTCCGCTCTTCATCTTCTTCTTTCCAATGAACCTTTTGATAGTTTTTCTAAAGCTATGAGCTGGTGAGAGACCCACAGATGCCATTTACCATAAATTTATTCTGTCCCTGTCCATTGCCATCTGCCTCCCGTGCTGCCCTCTGGGGAGCCAACCTGCCCCCCATTTCTCCATCCTGTTCCAGAATGGCTGCCTTTGGAGAATGGGGTTTCTCAGGAAGGACATTGCACAATCAGAGAGGCTGATCTGCCAAGACTGTAACATTTTTTTCCTGGAGCATTTTCAGGAATGTGTCACAGGAGGTGGGGGAGATGGGCAATGGAACAGAGAGTACTAGGCACCAACAACCAGGTAATAAACTGTCCAAGCATTCCTTTTCAAAATCTAATGAAGACATCAATCTTCATTAAGTCAAAGGGTCTGGGGTCTGTAGCGGTGAGATTTTCTGGGCTGCTTCAAAAAGCTGGAGAAACAATGGCCAAGATGCAGACCATAGAAATGAGAAGCAGTGAATTCTAGAACTTGATGATGTCTATTTTCAACAAGTGCTGAATTTGCCAATAACTATGATCCACAAACATGAACCTCAAGCTCAGTGTTGTGCTGGAGCCAGATTGCCTGGGTCAAGAGGGCTGCTTATCATGGCCCTTTCCAACTCCATGCTCACCAAAGTCACGCTAGAGGCTTGTAATTGGCCCCAGTGGCAGTATGACACCACAGATTCAACAGCTGATACGGATGAGGCTGTCCCCCCTCTAGAGAGTCATCTTTCCAGCACACCACTACTTCATTTTATATCTCAATGTCAAAAGACATGTGGAATCCTGAAGTCACTTTCCGAAGGGCAGTGTTGTTCTCAAATTTCCATGTAAACCACTGGGGGCAAGAAATCTCATGAATATAATAATAAAGAATTCTTTACTTTCAGATTCCAAATTCACCTTCTTCAGATAGCCTCTCTTTTTCTGTAGAAAGTAGGTGCTACAGATCTGAGAAAGGCCTGAGGTGCTGTTCTCCCAGGGTCAGTTGATAGATTTTTCCATGAGCTCCCAAGGTCTACCAGTAGGAAAGATGCCTCCAGAAAGAAATGTTCCCCACAGAGAACAACGCCCCCACCCTACCCCGTGCAAGCTCCAGTGAGGCTATGGAAAAGTAGGGGTAAGATGCTGTTCTCTGCTGGGGGAAATTTTGCAAAACACTTGGATTCAGTGGAAAGTGATCAGCCTTAGCAAAAAAAAAAAAAAATCTAGTTTTCTTCTCTCTTCCTATACAAACTAGGATTAAAAAAAGGGGGGACAATGAAAACACAAACATGCACAATATTCACTTCCAGATATCTTTCTTTTTTTCTATAGACCTTCCTTTCACTCTGTTTTTGTGGCTTTACTTGATGATTTTTACCACTGTTTCCCATAACTTCCTTGAGGTTGGAATGAAAAGGAGTAGGGAAGAAATTAGCATTTAGAAGGCACCAACTATATATCAGATACTGGAGTATTCTTATTTAGTACAGCAATCATGCAAGGAAGGTACCATTATTTCCACTTTTTTCAGGAAAGGAAAGGCCAGAATTATCTAAGCTTACTCAACTCTCTTAGTACATTTGCTGTTGCTTTAACACAATATCTGAGACTGGATAATTTATAAAGGAAAGAAGTTTATTTAGCTCGAAGTTTCAGAGGCTCACAGATCTGGAAGTGGGTGGCTGCATCTGGTGAGCATCTCACACTGCATCATATCATGGTGGGAAAGAGGAAGGGCAAGAGTATGCAGAGGAGATGAGGGCTGAGGGCCAGACTTGCTCTGTAAGGAGAAGCCACTCCCATGAGCAAGGCATGAAACGCTCTTAAGGACCTAATGATCTCCTAAGACTCTCATTCCCTCTTGACACTCTGTTCCACTGGGGACTAAGTCTCAACATGAGTTCAGAGAGGACAAACTACTTTGAAACCAGAGCACCAACTAATGGATTTTGGAGTTGGAATTTTAATACACATCTCCCTGACTTCATATTTTATGTTTTTTCTGCCTTTTCAACTATAGTATTGACCTATTGAAAAATAAAGTTCAACTGTAAGCCCAGTTCTGGAGACAAGGTACAGCCTGAGACTGGTCCCTAGCAGCTGGCCTTCCAAGGGACACAACTGGATGGTCTAGTGAAGTAAAGATGAGAACTTTTCTAGGGGTACAACTTGCCATTTCTTGGGGACAGTTTTGAGACAAACATTAAATATTTTTTGCTATACTCATTTAAAATGTAAAGTAGAAGAAGAGCATGGATATTGGAAGTGAATATTTTATCTTGTTGTTGGATGATTTAACAAATGATACCTTAGGAATCTAATATTGGTACCCAAATATTTTTAATAAACATAAAAGTTACATATACAATAATAAAATATTTTAAAAACTTTTATTATGAAATGCTAAAGTCTAGCAGAAAATAGAAAGGGTAAGAGAGAAAAAGAGAAAGACTGTGTATATTTCTTAAATTTTCAACATGCTCAGTTGCAAGCAACTTTAGAACCTCCAAATGGAAACGTATATAGTTGGAACACAGGAGAAAGGTTTGGATTATAGCAATGGATTTGATTTTGACAGTATGTAGAAGTATCTAAAGCCATAGGAATGGAGAGGATCATCAATTAAATGTGTATATAGAGAGAAGGTAGGTTATAGAATTAAACCCTGAAAATTTTCCTGCATTTAATATCCAAAATTGTTCAGACTTCTAGAGTCACCCAAGTACCTCCAGCATCTCTGGACTTACTGTTTCACTTCCTTGGTAAGTTCTATGCCAAAAAAATAGAGGCATCTAGTGAGGACACAGAACACTGCCCCCTAAAACTGACATTTCAAACTTGTCAGAGTTTTTTCTACACCAGTGAGAAACTTGCATCCTGGGAGAACTCGCACTTTTTAGAAATAACACAGGAGAACTTATACTTCTAATTAGGATGTAGAAACAGTCAATAGAAACAGATTCAAAGAAGACCTGAGTTTTTGGAATTGCCAGATTGGGTGTGTAAAACAACTTTTATAAATAGTGTTAATGAACTTATAGAAAATTATGGATATAGTAGATAAAGAAATGGATTATTTCAAAAGAATTATTCAAACACTAAACAAAACCAAGCAGAAAATATAGAACTAAAAAATATAATATCTAAGCTATCTGGGGCTTAAGAACATCACAGAAGAAAGGAGCAGTGAATGGGAAGAGCAAGTGACAGAAATATTCAAGCTGAAAGAAAGAGAAAAATGAATACATTATCAATGATCATAAAATAATATCAAGTTTATAACATCCATGCATTGAGTCCCAGGAGTGGAGGAGATAGAGAATCAAGTAGAAAAAAAAGTTTGGAGAGGAAATAATGATTGAAAATTTGCAAATTTAATGAAAACATCAATCTGAGAAAACCACTCCTAGACATATGATAGTCAAATCAATGAAAATAAACTGAAAGAACATCTTAATAGCAGTCTCCTCAATAATGACATATATGCCAGGGACAATGATATGAATGATGGCTGGCTGCATACTGGAAACTGAAAATCAGAAAACATGACACAAGACAATGGAACATCTTTAAAGGAAACAATACTGTCACCACAGAATTCTGTATCCAACTAAAAATTCTTCAAAAATCAAGATAAAAGAAAGATATTTTCAGATGACAGAAGCTAAGAAAATTCACTGCAATAGACCTACACCATAATAAATGTTAGTGATAATTTTTCAGCATAAAAAATATCCATATAGAAACTTGGAGATGCAGGATGGAAAAAAAAAAAAAAACAGTGAGAAAAATGGAGGCTTCCAGTTTCCAGTCCAATGTTTAAGGACCTTAGAGGCCATCACTCTGTTTTACCAGTAAAAAACTGAGCAAATTGTAAATTCAGCAATTCTTTTTTCAATTCTTCATCAGAGAAGTGAGGACATAGGACAGATCTATGTCCCTAAAATTGGAAAGACAGGCAAATACAGAAAGAACCACTTACCAGAGCAGAAACTCCTGAGCAGTGACCACCTTAGAACCAGTGCTAGGGGAGGAAAACCAAAAATGGAATTGATTAGTTGCTAGAGACTCTGTGAACCCTTCTGGGCAGACCCAGTCACAGGAGGACTCCCACATTTTTGTGGGTTTTACTCCAAAAGCTTTACCAGGTCCTCAGAATAAATATCAGAGAAAAATTCCTCAGTGCTTCTGGCAGGGGGAAAGGGAAAGAAACAAATTTGAAATATGCCAGAGCATTCTGTTCTTCACAACAAGGCTTGCTCTCAAGAGAAATTATTTTACCAGAGCCTAATCTGCTAGAATTTTAAGAGTTTTACCAAGAGGAAGAGAAATACCCAACTCCAGCCTTTCACATGGGGTAAGAGAAGTACCCAACTTCAGTTCCCTCAAGCCATCTCCTAAACCTAAACCTAAACCCAAGGCACAAAGCTAAGAAGTACAGATAAAGTTTGCAGCCCAGAGACACAGGCACACCAAAAGTCTGGAACCTAATTATGAGATTTACCAAAACATTACTAAAGAGCTTTCTATACAATTCCATTTACTCAGTACAATATATGCACCTTCAAAAACAACAACAGTAAAATAGATGTCATAGAAGGAGCAGAAAACATAGTTTGAAGAGACTGAAAAGCATTCAAACTAGAGTCAGATATTGCAAGAATGTTGGGATTATTAGATCAGAAATCTTTTTTAAACTACAATTAATATGCTAAGAGCTTTAATGGAAAAGTAGATGATACGCAAGGACAGATATATAATTTAAGCAGAGAGATGGAAATCCCAAGAAAGAATCAAAAAAGAAATACTAGAGCCGGGCACAGTGGCACATGCCTGTAATCCCAGCATCTTGGGAGGCTGAGGCAGAGGGAGCTCAAATTCAAAGTCAGCCTCAGCAACTTAGCAAGGCCCTAAGCAACTCAGCAAGATCCTATCTCTAAATAAAATATAAAAAGGGCTGGGGATGTAGCTCAGTGGCTAAGTGCCCCTGGATTCAATCCCCTCAAAATACTAGAAATCAAAAACACTGTAATAGAAGTAACAAATTTATTTAATGGGATCATTTGTATACTGGAAATGGCTCAGGAAAGAATCTCTGAGCTTAAGGACATAACAATAGGAGCTTACAAAATGGAGAAGCAAAGAAAATAAACTGGAACATAACATTTAAGAACTATGCGATAATTACAAAAGGTATAATACATATATAATGGGAATACTAGAAGAAAAAGAGAAAGAAAAGAACAGAAGCAATGTTTGAAACATTAATGACTGAAAATTTCCCCCAAATTAAGGTCAGATTTCAAACTATTGATCAGGAATCCCAGGAAAACAAGAGTCCAAACAACTACACCTAAGCATATCTCTTTCAAATTTCAGAAAAATCAAAGATAAAGAAAAAAAGGTCCAAATCTCCACCATGTTGGCTTAGGAACCAACTTCTTCAATATGACTCCGAAAGTGCAAGAAACAAAATCAAGAATCAATCAATGAGATGGTATCAAATCACAAAGCTTCTTCACAGCAAAGGAAACAAACAAAAATATGAAGAGAGAGCCTACAGAGTGGGAGAAACTCTTTACCACCTTTATCTCAGATGGAGCATTAATCTCTAGGACATACAAAGAACTCAAAAAACTTAAAACAAAAAACAACTCAATCAATAAATGGACAAAGGAACTGAACATGCACTTCACAGAAGAAGAAATACAGAAGGTTAATAAATATATGAAAAATATTCAACATCTCTAGCAGTTAGAGAAATGCAAATCAAAACTACACTGAGATTCCATCTTACCCCAGTCAGAATGGCAATTATCAAGCATATAAGCAACAATAAATGTTGGCAAGGATATGGGAAAATATATTCACTTATATACATTGCTGGTGGGACTGTAAATTGGTGTGACCACTTAGAAAGCAGTATGGAGATTCCTTCAAAAAGCTGGGAATGGAACCACCATTTGACCCTGTTATCCCATTCCTTGGTTTATATCCAAAGTACTTAAAATCAGCATATTATAGTGATGAAGCCACTTCATTGTTTATAGCAACTCAATTCACAATAGCCAAACTATGGAAACAACCTAGGTCTCCTACCACAGGGAAATATATAAGGAAAATGTGGTATACATATACAGTGGAATAGTATTTAGCCATAAAGAAGAATGAAATTATGGCATTTGCTAGTAAATGGATGGAACTGGAGAATATTATGCTAAGGGAAATAAGCCAGTCCCCAAAACTAAAGACAGAATGTTCTCTCTTATATGTGGATGCTAACCCACAACAAGGAAGGGAAAGATTAGAAGTTCATCAGGCTAGAAAAAGGGGAATGAAGGGAAGGGAGGAGGGACATAATAGGAAAGACAGTAGAATAAATCAGACATATCTTTCCTATCCTCATATATAAATACATGACCAGTGAAACTCCACATCATGTACAACCACAATAATGGGATCTTAATTGGAACAAGTTTTATTTATTATGTGTGTATAATGTTTCAAAATATACTGTCATGTAAAATAATAATAATAAAGTTTTTTTAAAAAGAGAAAAAGAAAGAAAAAAAACTTAAAAAGAAATCAGAGGGGAAAAGAATCACCTTGCCTCTAAAGGAGCAAAGATAAGAATTAGATCTGACTTATCAGAACCATGCAAATAAGAACAGACTGGAGTGGAATACTTAAGTATTAAGAGGATCGAAAAACCCCACCAACCTAGAACTATATACCTTGTTAAAGTATCCTTTGAAAGTGAAGAAGAAATAAAGACTTTATCAGACAAAAATGAAATTTGTTGGTAGTTAATCTGCCGTATAATAAATGTTAAAAGAAGTTTTTCAAAAAGAAGGAATGTTATTACTTGTCAGAAACTCAGAATTGTGTGAAGAAAAGAAAAGCATCATTGAAAGAATGAGTGAAGGCAAAACAAAAACCTTATTTTTTTACTCTTAATTGATCTAACAGAAAACAGTCTGTCCAAAATAATAATAGCAACAGTGTATTTAATTTGGTATGCTTTTATACATATTTAAAATATTTTGAATTAAATAAAAATGAAAATACAAGTTAAAACTTGTGGAATGCAGTGAAAATAATATTTAAAGAGAAATTTAAAGTATTAAGTGCACATATTAGAAAAGAAGAAATCTTAGTCTCCTCCTTAGAAAACTAGAAAAAAAGAAATGTAATTTAAATCTAAAGTAAAAAGAAAAAAAAATAAGAAGAAAATTAGAGCAGAAAGCAGTGAAATGGAAAACAGAAAAATCAACAAAGAAAATTACAGAAACAAAATCTGGCTCTTTGAAAAGACCAGTAAAATTTATAAACCTCTTACTAGTCTAGGAAAATTTTAAGAAGACAAAAATTAAAAATATTGGAATTGAAAAATGGGACATCATCATAGATCTCATAGACATTAAAAGGATAACAAAACCCTATAAAGATCTCTATATTCACAGTTTAATAACCTAGATAAAGCAGACTGATTTCTTGAGAAGCACAGCCTGCCAAAATCAAACAAGAATTGAGAGTCTGAATATATCTGCAAAGAAATTGAATCAATAACTAATAAGCTTTTAAAATTAAAATCACTAGATCCACTAGTAAATTATGCACCAAACACTCAAAGTAATGGTAGATTTGAATTGTCAACTTGATTGGATCATGAGATACCAAAGATTAAGAGGCTTCTGGGTGGGTCTAGGAATGATTGGCCTTATGTGATAACCAATTGAAGTAGACACCCTCCCTAAGCATGGGCAGCACCATCCAATAGGTTGGAGGCTTGGATGGAAGAAAGTTGGAAGAACAAGAAAGCTGCAGCAGATGCAAGCTTGATGCTTCTTGAAGGGTTTCTTGATTGCTGCTGCAATTGCGAGAGGTGGTTAGTCTCTCACTTCTTCACTCTTCCAAAGCAGACTCTACCAGTGATTCTCCAGGGAGCTTCCAGAACCCTGGGTCTTGGACTGGGGTAGCACTATTGATCCCTCTTGTTGTGGGACTTCATCCTCTTGGACTGCACAGCTACTGGTTCCTCCAGCTCTCCAGCCTGCAGATGGCCACTGTGGACTATCCAGCTTCTGGTCATGTAAGCCAATCTAATAAATCCCCTTCTTATAATCATACCTCCTGTTGATTCTGTTCCTCTCGAGAACCTTGACTAATACATTTGAGAAAGAAATTATATCAATTTTATAGAGTCTATTTCAGAAGATAGAAACAGAGGTAATACTTTTTAACTCATTCTATGAGTTGATACCAAAACCAGAGGAAAACATTACAAGAAAAGAAAACTAAAAGCCAACATCTCTCATGAACATAAATGCAGAAATCCTCAATAAAAACATTAGCAAATCAAACCCAACAATGAATATGAAGTATACTATGTGATCAGGTGAAATTATTCCCAGTATTCACACTAGTTCAGTGCTCAAAAATCGATTAATGTAAGCCATCACATAAAAAAAATCACTTGACTATATTAATAAATGCAGAAGAAAAGTGTTTGAAAAATCCAACACCTATACAACTATCATCACACTTAACAGTGACATACTTAAGTATAAATATTACAAAATGTGAACAAGGTATATGTGAGGAAAACTCTGGTAAAAAATATCAAAGAAGAACTAAAAAAGCGGAGAGACATTTCATGTTCATGGATAAGAAGACTCAATATTATCAAGAGGCCAGTCCTGTCCAACTTGATCTACAAAATTCAAAATTCACACAGAGTCTAAAGGATATTTTGGAGACACAAAAGATTCAGACTAGCCAGCTCCATACTGAAGGAGAAGGAAAGTTGGAGGACTGACATTTCCAGACTTCAAGGCTTCCTACAAAGTTACAATAATTAAAACAGAGCGGGGTCACAACACACGACTAAACCAGTCAGGATCACTCCAGGTGAACTGGGCTGGCACGAAATAGTCACACAGAGACATAGACATACCTTTTTCTTGGGGTTCTGTGATGGCTTCTCTGACCCAGCTCCCATAGAGGAGGAAAGCAGGCAAGAAAGAGAAAGAGCATGCCTTGAACCTGGGGTTTTATT